CAACAAATCTCCAGGCAAAGCTCGAGAGACAGAGAGAGAAGTTTCACGGACGGGGCGGCACAGAGCACACGGCGACGCATGAAGAAAACTACGGAACCCCCCCCAAAGAGGGTCCCACAGCCTTCGGACGCGAAACAAGAGAAAGGGATCTCGCACAAGGGCAGCAGCAGTACCCTTGAGAACCGACCTCCACACCTGAAACACAACGACGCAAGGCCCTGTAGCCTCCGACCGCGAGAGAAGCTCGTCCTTCTGGGCAAGGTAGGTCGTCTGCATCCCCCCTCCCCCGTTCCCGTCGTCATCGTCATCGTCGGAGTCGTAGCCCGCCCCGCCCGCCCCGCCTCCCTCGCCCGGGTTACTGCCCAGGAGGTCTGTCACCGTCATCAGGGCCTCCGTCCACTCTTCCTGTTCGGCCGCGGTGTCAGTCCTGGCTATTATCGTCTCGCCACCCTCGCAATCGATCAGCAGGCCGCGGTTGTAGGGCTTGCTGAACTCTGCCTCCCACGGGCGAACCGCTCGGATGATGTTGGTTTCCTGAGACAACGTGGTCGTGTTTTTACGAGAGGGGTGTACAGATGACATCACAGCGAAGGGTGTCGGGCCCGTTCGAGACATTTCTGGAAGTTCGAGACATTTCTCGGAGAGCCGTTTCGTTGGGGTCGCCTTGAAAACCACTCCTAGAAGGAACAGTTATCCCAGCACCAGCAACGGTTACAAAGCTAGCAACAAATGTAGGTTTCTAAGCTAACGACAAACGTAACCTTTCGGGGGTCAGATAGTCTAGATGCATGCGAGCCCACCACAAAAAAGCAGCTATCGATTACAAGACCGCAAAAAACAAGACACACGAGTATGCATACCTCGACTTGTTGTTGTTGTTGTTGTCTTCACATTGAAAACAGTTCCGGTCTCCGCTCAGTACCTTCTAATGTCCGTACTGGTCCAACTGACGCGGACACCTTCCGTGGTCACAAGCCAACTATTAAAAGGGGTACACCTTTCGAGTACAACAGCAATTGCATGTAAACCTATCCGTATCGTGTCTGCAAGGAAACAAAAAAAGAATGGAGACGACAAAAAAACTACAAAAAAACGCTTCTTCGATAGAGATGGATTCGTTAAGTCATACTGACTTCTTTACATCCTCAGATGGCTCTAGCACTCTCGTGACCACGGGCTGAGAGTCTTTGCTAGATTTTGGCATTTAGCAATTGGCATACGGTTTAATGTGAAGACAACAACAACAACAACAACAACTGACAAAATAAGAAGAAAAAAAAACAATGCTCACCACGGGATCCTCGTGGTCCGCATACTGCCTCTTGCCGGCGAAACACCGGAGGATGTTGCCGTGCACCGTGCAGAACTGTCGAGACCAAGATGACGTCGCCGCCCCGACCAGCTTGAAACGCTTCGTCAGGTACCCATTATGCCGCACCTATGCATCAATATATGGGTATTCGTGTACAGAAAAACACGAGACGGCAGTACATAGCAAGACGAACTTTTAGCTATGCATGCCTTGGTGTGTATACATTGACAGCTGTGGTCGGATTGGATGAGAGGTTCACGAGCACCTGCGTTGCTCGCTATACACTCGACTTTGCTTGGTACACCTGTAGCGCTACTGCTGCGGGTTGTTGCATATGTCGGTCTACCAACTCCCAACAGAAGGGAGAACCAGAACGCCTCGACAACTAATAAGCTCGCGTTCCCGTGTTGCCTGCCGGGACACTGTACCGTGTTTCCCACGGTACAAGGACCGAGAAGCGAGACACTTGCCAACGGGCTACCGGTACGCCATCGGTAGAGCATGATCGGGCGAATGTGTTAAAGATACATCCTATGCACGCCGGAAAACGAAAAAATCAGAATTGTCCTGCTCTCCAGTGGCAGCAGCATTACATACGAAAGTCCCCAGTTGATTTCGACGCCGTCGGCGTGTGCAGGTTGCCAATATGGGACGAATGTGCAAATAGCTAAACTGTCCGCTGAGACGTTCGATTTCCAATGACACGCACTTCGTGACTTTTTTTCTGTGAGTTGCGCTAATCCTCCTGGTACCCAGTTAGTTACAGGTTAGGGTCCAGAAAAGATCGCGTCCGCTCACTGGGAGAGGCTGTACAGCAGTCCCGAGGGTCGAAGGCTGACTTGGCTTCAGTATGGAAAGTGTCCCCAAATGAAGTCAGCAATTTTTTCAAGTATTAAGCTATGTACAGTTTTACCAACAAGGGGACCCGCGGCACGGGAGATTGTGTGCAGCAAGTCAGAGGCCCAGGAGAGGCAAGCAGGCCCTCACGCAAGCAAGCATGGTAGATCAAGGTTTCCCATGCACGTTTCACGCAGCGGAGCACAGTGATGACCATGGTACGGTAAATAGGCACTTGAGTGCTGTGTTCCCAAAGAGGGTTAAGGTCGACCAAGAAACCACCTTTACTAGATAGACGCGCGTCGTTGTGCGACCTTGTGACGATCATGGCGCAGAGCGGCGGCACTAAAATCAAAGCTGACGGCACAAAATCAAAAGCGGAATCCACATCTATGCCTCCAGCTTTCTACAGCGAACGTCTTCGCCGAGTACGTATGTATGGCTGCGCTGGGGCCGCTGGTACGCACGTGTAGATGGCGGCGCCAAAGAGTTTGAAACGTACGGATGCTACCGTTCGTCGCCCAGGCACGTAGGCCAGGCACGTAGGATAGACGGTGCCAAGAGTTTGAAACGATACGGATGCTACCGCCCACCGCTCTGGCATGTAGGTAGGTGGCGCCAAGAGTTTGAAATGATACGGACGCTACCGCTCGCCGCTCTGGCACGTAGGATACCACCCACCACTCTCCGAACGCAACCAGTACTGCTGTACTGCTGTGATGGCTGCAACGAGGACGACATGTAAATACTTAATAGTCAAGCAGTCTGACAGCAGAATAGTCGTTTGGGCCCATCGTCCCTCCGAAGAACTACCCACCATGAAAGGGGCAGATGGCACGGCTACATCTCCTATCTGTGTGCGGTATGTGCATGGTACGACAGTGCGGCATTTACATGCGACAGCAGATATGCCTCTCTTGGAAAGCAGCGGGTGCACTTGCGTTCCATTGTTCCCTGTGTTTTCCAAACGTTGAGAAATAAAATTGGTGCCTGCGGTTTTGCTGTGGTGCCTTGAGTGCCGATAGTCAACTCCCTGCCCCGTCTTGCGCGTATACAGCAGTGTACGGGAGGGCCTCTTGCTTGGTTTCTTCTATTTGCGCTTCGGCTGGGGGGAAACAGCCAAAGTTGACCAGACGGCAAAAACGCTTCCGACGTCTCTTTTCCTCTTGAATTGCGGCAAGACTCCTTCCATCGGTCTAGCGGTGAACGAGAGTTGTTTCTGCCGCCTGCTGCACTCCTCATTCACGATGAAGCGCGGCTAACATGTACAAAACGCCGCAGGAGCCTCTCGGAATCCCCACTGCCGGGGCCAACACTATCTCAAGCCAGAATGTGAAAACCTTCCATTGCAACAGAAACTCCGACAGAAGACAAGAGACTACAAGTAAAGAGGGTGCGGAACTTGCGCCACAAGCAGAAAAATATACCAGAAAGGAACAGAGACATAGGCGGGGACGTTGGAATCAAGAGGAGGATGTTAACACCCTCTGCTCTCTGGGTGTTCAGTCTGTGCCGAGGGGTAGTGCTGCTGTGCATCGAATAAATTGTTGACAGGGCTGCTGCCGGTTTAGTTGACATGTAAACGAGCCGTTTGACTGAGTCGTATGTATTGGAAAGAGACGCCGTTAGAGGAAAGAAGATGCACACGGGAGACACCGAGCTTGCCTACACAGCAGCAGCTCTAACCGGTACAAATCCATCATCAGGACCGGAAATACATAGTCGCCGAGTGAAATGGATTGGCAACCCGACGTCATTATCATGGCCTCCCTGGCCTTTTTTACCTTGGTGGTCTACGGCTGCCATCCAAAAATGGCAGTTAGTGGAATACAGACACAACAGCCGTTTGTATTGCTTGTTGTTTGCGCGCATGTTGTTCTCGGCTTTTCACGCGCGGGCCGCTTGACGTTGCGGTGCGCTTTTGGAGACCTGGTTTGACTACCCCTATCTCCCTACAACCGCGCGCACGCACAAGCCAAAAAAGGAGCTGACGGGTCAGGCGAGGGGGGGCTCACCTGTGTGTAGTGCGAAAACGTCTTCCGCCTCTGTAGTGGTGGAGAGTCAGGGGGGATTGTGTCCGCCCAAGAATGCGATACGGCGGTGTCGTCTTCGCTGGCATCGCTGCTGCCGCCCATGATACAGCGGCAGTCCGTCCGGGGCAGTAGGCAGCTATCTCCCACACCCCCACCGCCGCGATTTGATTGCCCTTCCGCCCTTGAGACGCCCGGTCCAGCAAAAACCCCTCAGCTATCTCCCCTCCGCCTTGTTTTTCGAATGCCGAATACCCCCCGCGTGCGGCTCGCTGGGGACCAGGTGCGGCAGTAAAAGAGAGGACAAACAGAATACGGAGTAGGAAATTTGGAGCAGCAAACGGAAGAGAGAGAGAGAGTGCCGCAAAGAGGAGCAGTGCTTGGTCGACTTCCCAGGCGATCCCCTTCCCCAACCCAGTGCACGACTCCCGCAGGTCGATTCAAGAACCTTTGCAGCCTCGCCCTCGACCGGGGTCTAGATAGAGCTCGCTCACGATGCGGCTAACGGCAGCCTCTCCGTGGCGGTTGTTTGTCTTGGGCACACAAGGCTACAAGGCTGCGTGTGAAATGCCGACATAGAGTGGAAACCCAAGAATAGGCGTTTTTTCAGTGCGGGCGAGCGCAGGTTTCCTCTGACGGAGACACCCCCCCCCCCCGCCCCTGTAGGTATAGCGCAGCACAGCAATTGATCGTGTTGTCGTGGACTTGTCACTTTGCTTGGCACTCTCTGACAAGTTCAATTTTGGGACGGACGCCGGGCAGCAGGCGCCACCACCTCCCAGCAGGGACAGCTAACAGGAATTGGCGCCCTCTAGTTTTAGATGCTGGAGAGCACGGTGCTTCACCAGAGCCGCACTGGGCCGAGAGGGCAACCTAACGATGTGGTCGGGATCAACTGGAAGGCACCCACCAGGTCTCACCCCAGCCCTTCGCTGGTGGTGACTTGCGCACACCAAGTCGTGGTCTACAAGGTAAGCCCCGCCTTGGCTTTAGCTTCGCAGTCGGTCGTCGCGACGACGTGCCATCCGGAACGGTGCCCACTAAGGTCCAAAAGTGGCCACTCACACACACCTCCGGTTGCTTGCTATCTCGTCCTGCCGTCTTGTTTTCAGTGGTTTGAGAGAGACGGGAGAGGGGTATGTCTCCCAGAGGAAGACATGTTTTTTGAAGCCCGTCTCTCACAGACACCCCTCCCGAGCGAAGCAACAGATGGCGAATCGGCAGGCAACAAGTGTGCACAACACCGGCTCACGCCCGCCTGCGGGTCGCCCCTGCTGATCTCTTATTTTGAAAATTCAAGTTTGGGCCTTGCTCTCTGTGCGAACCTGAACCACGCACACCGGACGTGCCCTCCCTCTTGTTGCTGCTGTTCCAGCCGGGCGAGGAGCGAAGAACACACCAGTGGTCCTTCAAGCCCTCGGCGGCGACCGTGCTCTCGCACCCGGCGGTGTTCCTGCCGTCGCGCTCGCGATACGTCGGCGTGCAGCAGGGCTCCACCCTGGTTAGCTGGCGGGAGAGCGAGCAGGATGTCAAGCACCCACTCTCTTCGCAGGTATTGTAACGAACGAAACATGTACAAAGTACAAAAGGCCTGACTGCCATTGATGAGAGACCATCCAGGTGAAATCATTCTGCTTGCTTTGCACGGCGGCAGTGAGAGGCGCCATCATGCCACAAAAATTAGAAACGCGTTTGAAGGCCAGTGCTCCCCCCGCATGGTGGGTATCATGTATGATGGTACTCCCGGTGTCTTTGCTCCTGCTACAGTACTCTGTCGCGAATACATTAATACCGAATCGGCCTAAAATAGTAGCCAGTCCACTGCTGCTGCTGTGGCATGTGATAATCTACGGCACTACAACGTACTGCTGTATCCTCCAACTACCGACCGTGCCGTGTTTGCGAGAGAGGTGGTGGTAGAATGGCCGTAAGCGCCTCTAGACTGATATACCGTGGTATATTATCTCTGTCTGTCTCTGGCTCATCCTGGTCTTCCATGCTTTTCGGCGATTGCAGGGGGCTTTTCGTTGGTGGACACCCCGCAGTGAAAGAATTCGCAGTCAAGTCTACATAAGTCGGGGACAAGCCGCGAAACATCCCCTACTGACGAACTGCTCTGCCTATCTACATCATCATTAGAGTACGCGCCCTCAACACACTTGCGACCTTGGTGCAGAGTATGCAGAGTAATTGATAATAAGAGGGTTCAAACGAGGGTTCAAACGTTCTTCGTAACAAAAAAAAACTCTCTTGGACTCTTTTCTATGGGTAGCGATGGATTCGGTATGTCACTTAAAAAAATATATTTTTGTATATATTAAAACTTCAGTATAACGTTGGTTTCCCCACAGTGGATGTCAGGAGGGAGCCTACGGGCAAAGAAGAGTGTCTTTCGTGGGGTGGCGCGTGCTGCCATATGCTACCTACCATTGGCGCCCACCCCGTGGTTCGTGGCGACCGCTTGGGAACAGGAGGAAATCAAAGTCGAATCTTGCCGATCGTTTGCAAACACCCTGCTCTGCTGTAGGCGCAACAAACAAAGCACGTTGATGTGGATACATCTCTACCAAAAACGCCTTTTTCCACGAGTTACTGCTGTATTTCTGTGCAGATTATCAGCAACTATGCATACCTCGGGTGCTCCTTCTTACTCCCCGCCCCCCCCCCCCCCTCCGCTTTCTACGCTCGCGCGCCAGGCCGCCGGCCCAATACAAGCGGTCCACGCCTGCCCCCGCCTGGGCGACTACTTCGTGGCCGTTCTGGCCTCAGGAGGCGTCGTCCTCTACCAGGGCGGGCTGCAGCGCGCGGCGCACTGCGACGCCGCCGCCGGTGGCGGCGGCGGCGGAGGCGACGACAGCGGGGGCTCCGCCGGCGATGCCAGGGCAAAGGCGGTGTGGTCGGGCGTCCTCGGCGACAGGGTGCTGGTCCTCGAGAACACCGGCGCCGCCACCGACCGCGTCACCACCTTCTCCTTGTCCGCGGGAGGTGTGGGGTCATCGTCGGTGCGTCGAGACGACGCCTGCGCCGCGGCGGCAGATGTCCCGGCTTCCGTCACCCTAGTGTCTTCGCACATTCTGACGAAACCGTCGAGCGGAGGCGGGAGCCAGGACGGAGGAAGGGCGGCGGCGACCTCGGCGGCGTTTCTTGGGCGCGATAGCGGCGGGAGCGGGGAAGGGCGCAGCGTGATATCGGTGGCGTGGCGCACGTCGAGCGGGCCGGTCTGGACGAAGGCGGTGGTCGGCGCCGGCGGGGTGACGGAGGAGTTCGCGCGGCACGCGGGAGGGGAGGTGGTTGCCGGCAGCCGCCGCGCGACCGAGCACAACGGCAACGGGGTCGTGTCCGTCTCTTCGAGCAACGGCCACGGCACCCCCAAGGCCAAGTCGAAGAAGCCGGCGGGAAATCAATCCTCTGTCGGCGAAGGTAGCGGCGCTGCCTGGGCCTGCGTCCCTGCGATTGCCGCGGCGGACGGCGGACGTCTCCTGATCCACAGTGGCTCCGGCGGGGACGCGAGCCCTCGGCTCGCCGTGTGGGACTCCTCGTACGGCGTGCTCCTCGAGGACGGGGTCGCGCCGGAGTTTTCGAGCGACGGCGGCGGGGGGGGGTCGGCGTCACGGTCGTCGGGGAGAGCCGTCGGCCTGAAGGTGTCCGGGGACGGCGCCCACCTCGCCATCGCGGCAGCGGGCAAAGTGCTGGTGTGTCCGCTCCCGGCGCAGGCGGCGGGGACACTGGCTTCTCTGTTGAGGCGAAAGCGTCCCTCCCCCAGCGCTATCGGAGGGAGCACCGTCATCCCCGCCGGGCGTGGGTCGAGTTTCCCGTCGATCGACCTCTCCCGCAGCGTCCCGGCGTCGACGCTCCTCGGAAAGACCGGCGCCGTGGAGGCGGGGAAGTGGGAGGCGGCGGTAGTGGTGCCGTTTCGGGAGGCCGAGGCGGGCGTGATCCGGTCGCTCCGGGAGGCCGCCCGCCGAAAAGACATCGGAGCGTTCGAGCATGTGCTTCGGGAACACCTGGGGGCGGGTTCTCGCAGTAGTGACGGCAGGGGGGAGGACGGGCGCAAGAAGAGGCAGCGGGGGGACGGGGGGGGGTTCTCCTCGGCGGTCGTCGCGTCTGCGGTTGAGCTGTGCCTCGCGAACCCGGACGCGAAGCTCTGGGGAGGCCTTGGGGTGTTGGTGAGGTCGGGCGGGGTGTCCGCGCGGCATCACCGGGGACTGGTGGCGGAGATCGTCGAGCATGCCTCGCCCGAGCTGCTGGAGGAGGTGAGAGTTAGAGTTTTGTTTGAGATTGTGCTGGTTTAAGGGGGCATCGGTGGGTGCTCGCCCTGGGGTTTGCTGATGCGCTGGGAAACGTTTGGGTGTAAACATGGTGTTGTTCGTGCTCTTCTGTGGTGGTGGATGTGCGCTAGGTTTGGGCTTTGTGTCTTCCCCTGTGAAGGGAAGGGCTGTTTTCCGCTCGACGTGTGCACCCCTGGGACGTGAACGTTGTGGAAGTATGCTTGAAAAACACGGCGGTAACAGACCTCGTGTTAACTCTCACTTGTTACCAGGCGGCCGTGGCGGTTATCGTGAACCGCCAGAGTAGACAACACCCAGACGGCAGCGTCTTACTCCCCCTGTGTCTCTCGTCCCCTCTTGGCTTTCCAAGGTCATGCTCCACGTCCCCGATCTCCCGGAGGTAGATGCGGTGCGAATTCTCCGGCACTTCCTCTCACAAGCTGCGACGCTGGCTGAGGCTTCCAGCGATCCCGCAGCGGCGGAAGTAGCGGCGGCGGTGGTGCCCGTGGTTCCCAACGAGGAGAGCGGGGGGGCTCCTCCGGCCAAAAGAGCTAGAGGCGGCAACGGCGGCGGAACCGCGAGCGCGGGGGGTTCGCCGGACGTCGCGAACGGCGGGGGGGGGGTAGTGGTTTCGGTGCTAAGCCCGTCGGAGAAACGCGGCGTGAAGGTAAAGGGTGCCGGTGGCGATGTTGTCGTCAAGGCGGGGAAGAAGATGAAGAAGGTGGGGGGTGTCAAAGTGGCGGCGGCAGGCGAGGACGGCAACGGCGCCGTCATCCACGAGAACGCTAACGCTAACGCTAACGGCGACGGCAAGACGATTACGACCAACAGTGGCCATCTCTCCAACGGCCACGCCGCCGCTCACGACGACGGGGGGACTTCCAGCGACAGCGGCGGCGGTTCCGACGCGGGGGGTACGCAGATGGTGGTGGTCGCGGGGGGAGGGGAGAAGGGCACTGGAGCTGCTGCCACGAAGGGCCAGAAAGAAACGGGCAGCAAGAAGAAGGCGGGAGGCCCACGGGCGGCGGCGGCGGCGGCAGCCTCGCGGGCGGAGAGAGGGGTGCGAGTAGCGCTGACCCTGCCGCACAACGAGGCGTTCTTGAGGTCGGCGCTGGCGGAGCTCAGTCACGGCGAGGTGGTGGTCGTGTTGAAGGTTAGTTTTGGCGACCTCCTCGTCGTAGGTGTGTATTCTACCATGGCGTTTTGTTTGTACGCGCGGGCGGGCCATACTATTTCTGTTTTTCTGGTGAGCAAGGTGAGGCGTTTTTTGCACGTGATTTTGGAAATATGTAGCTGTAGATTGCCGTGGGATGGGCGAAAGGCCTATTTCTGGAAGGTATAGAAGGCCGGAGCTTCAAGAGGGCAGGATCCCTTGGATAGGTGGGCGATTATTACCACACATGCACTGAGAACCAGGGTGGTTTTGGTATCTCTCTGAACAAATACACCCTGGTAGTTCTGTTCTTGCGGCCGGCGATAAATTCTAACGGCGGATTTCACGCAGGCCCGCCAATCGTCTCCCAACGTAATGCTCATTCTCTCGATGCTCTTCACCGGATAATCTCTTCTCTCGTTCATCGCTGCCTACCTTACTTCCCTGACCGCGGCATCGAACCGGACCCCCCCCCCCCCCTTCACAGATCCTCACCCGCCTCCTGGTTGAAGGAAAGACCCTGGAAACCGGCGCCAAGCCTCGAGGACAAAACGCCGCGTTGGTGGCCCGCGGGCTACCCCCGGCCCGTACGGAGTCAGTCTTGACGTGGGCATGCGCGGTGCTAGACTCCCACTTCACCCGGCTCGCGATAGGGGGTGCCGCGGATGGGGATCTCGTGGGGACCCTGAAGGCCCTGAAGAGGGCCGCCAGGGTGGAGGCGGGGTGCTGCGAGCTCTTGTCCCAGGTGCGGTCTCTTGTGGACGAGGTCGGAAGGCGACACGCGGCGGCGGCGGCGGCGGCGGCTTCGCGGAGAAGGCCGTCGTCGTCCTCCCGCGAGCTCTTCAGCCTCCGCGTGTTGACCTTCTAGTAGCTAGCTGCTTCTCTGTTGTGGTGGTGGTGTTTGTCCCCCGGGATCTGTGACAAGGGGCATTAGGGTCGTGCGAGGGTCGTTGTGGGTTCTTCCTCTTGTTTGTCTAGCCCTACAGTAGGTTTTCCCGGGAGTAAACGGGGCATGGGATAAGAGTGCGAGGGTCAAGCTTTCGAGATCGAGCTGCTGTTGTGAGTTGAGTGGGGACTTGTTCGGAGTCGTCTCTTGCGATAGGGCGACTCGGGAACAGCAAGTTCGCGGAGGACACGAGCGCAGAATAGACACCACGTCCATCTCCGTGATGGCCGTGCTTCCGAAGTGTTGTCGATTGTTTTTCGATTATCCTGACATTGGTATCTTCGGGTCAAGGTGATTGTGGTCCCGATGTGTGGAGAAGAGTCTGTTTCCGCATGAGCGCTGGTGATGGTCTTACGGGAGAGGGCAAGATGCCCATCTGGGCGACTCTCCTCTTTAGTGATTGAAGTCGTGGTAACTCCTTGCCTGTGTGGGGGGTGGCGGTGGCGGGAGGGTAGAAATTTCCGTGGAAACGCCATGGAATGTTCCACAGAAAAGGGTGGAGGGACTGCTGGCTGGATTGCTTCGTTTTCTGTGTGCCGCATGCGGTGGGGGGTATCGAGCGGTGTGCTTTTGGGGGTGTGACGGGTGCGATTATGACGTCGCAGCTTTTTGTTGGGAGTGTTTGAAAGAATGCTGTATCACCGCGATGATTGCGCTTGTCGGTGCGGCTGGTGTTTTTTATTGTTTTTCCATCGGGGGGCGGGTTCATTTGCATGATGGGTTTACGGAAACAGCTGAGCTATTAGTCTAAGACTTGGGGACAACGGGTACCCCCCTCCCCTCCCCTTTGACACTCTCAGACGCCTCCAAAATGTGTGATTGTTATGGCTGTCGTCGGTGAGAGTGAGGCTAGGAGATCGAACCTCATCTTTCTTCCACATTTTATCTCCTTCGAGCATCTAGTTACTAGTAAGGAGAGGTCTCCTACGCACTACACGTTTGTCATTGGTTCTTGCCGTACGTTGGTTCGCCGATGACGTCATTAGTGCGCTGTTGGGTGGTGATGCTTTGAATTTTATTGTTGTCCTTTCTGTGACGCGACATAGGATATTGATGTGGGGCGTTCATTGCATGTGTGTTGAGTGACGGTTGGAAGCGCAGCCTAGTGACGAGCCGCTTAGGGTTTCGAAATGAAACAGATGAATCTGAAACACGCCTACTTTCTTCATTGTTGCCAAGCTGGGAACACCGTACACGTCAAGCGTCCCTAATATTTTTCCATATTTAGGCCGTACCGTTGTATTGGATTAGACACACACATGTAGTCAGAGGAGTGCCTTGCGTACGTCAAGGACATTCAATTCGAGTCTGACACGGGACAGGGGACCATCCAACGGGGGCTTCCATGTACCTAAAGGCACGCACAAACAAAAGAACACCCGCTGCCTGCCATCGTTAAGCCTTCTCCGCATATCTGTGTGCTTTCCTCGAGATAAATAGAAGGCGAACGGGGACTTCCAGCCGCGGTTTGGTCGCGATGCCTCCCTCCCCCCTCTAGGCTCGCTCCAAGAAACGAGTCTTCTTGTCAGTCATCTTGTTGCTCTCTCCGTTTTTTTTTTTTTTCCTAACGCACTGGTAACACATGCATTAGACTACTTATCTTGCTTTGACAGCGACAGGCACACACACGCCCCCCCAAAATAATAGCGGCTCATCACACGTACAACCTCGCTAGCCACACGCCGGACCATTTACGCGAATGAATGTCCCGCGTTTTGTTATTTTTTTCGTTGCCTTCTCTGTTGTTGTGCTGCGCGCGAGCCGTGTATTTTTTCGTTTCGAAGTTGCAACCCCGTTGTTCCACCGTACATTGAATTTTCGACTCTTGTTTCTATCATGGAGAAACGGACCCTAATCCCTACGCAACACGTACACCAGCAGTCTACAACGCCTATTCCTCACGAGCATTCAGACTCTTAGAATCGCAGTCTTGAGCATTTAGCAATCGAAATCATCAGCCGAAATCAAACCAGTAGTGGTCTAAGTCAGTCCTAAGGCTAATGTTTTTCTGACGGTGTAATTCGCCTGGCGAGCGTTTAAATGAAACATGAACCTATCCTGTATCCGTGTGTGTGCCCTGCAGGTACGGTAAAAACAATGCAATAAAAACACAACCCAGGCACAAAGACAAATAAGTTGCAACTGCGACAATAATGCAGTCCCGTTGCAGGCTAGGACGACTCTATCTTACCACGTAGTATTGAGCACAGCTAGCTACAACGGTGTGACACAGACACATATTACGCATACTACACGCGTTTGCACTTCCGCAGAGAGAGTAAAAAAATCGCACGTGGTTAGACTACACCTTGGCGTGCACAAACATCCTGGCACAAAACAAAACAATACACTGTATGATATAGTCTAGGACACTGGAGACCTTTCTTCAAGGGTCGGAGCGTGGCGACAGGAGGTGGTTTCGGGTTGCTGTCTTACAAAAACAGACACAAAACACATCATGAATCCACGCTTCCAACCGCCCTCCTCAGGATTCACAGCGCAGACAGACGAGTGGCTATTGCACCGAACATATCTTTTTGCTCCCATCTCATCCCCTACCAAACACACTGCGCGGTGGAGATTGAAACGTCATACTTGTATGCATTTCGCGCGGAATTTCCGCGGGTTTTCATCGCGAGCGAAACGTGGTGTAACCCTCACGCCATGCGAACCAAAATGTACAAATTGAGGGTCTTCGCACGCAGGGCGAAGCCGCACGAAAACGGGGTCAGAGATACGACTTAACGCGGTGAAATAATCCCCCTCAAAGAAGATGAAACAACAACAACATCAACAACATGGCCGCAACACACAAATACTAGGCTTTCCCACCATCACGCAAGCACCAAAACAGCAACCATCACCGGTGAAGATATTTACAGACACAGCCACCCACGGGCCGAAGAAGCACGTCACGGCCACGCGGACGGGGCCGAGATAAAAAACGAAACGCAAGACATTCTCTCTCTACAAAACCTTCTTCTAAACCACCGCACAGCACGATTTCTCTCGTGAGATTAACAAACCAAGTATTGTTCTTATCCACGCGTTGACACGCGTGTCTTTGGTCAGCTGTCCCTTCAGCCAAAAAGAAGTTTGCATGAGAAGTCGCCTCAAGGATCCACTCACTACCATGTCAACAACTACTGGCGCGAAGACCAACCACACGCTAGTGGCGCCCAAGACCAACCACACGCCGTTCTATTAGTGGTGCCGAAGGTCTACCACACAGACGCCGATGTTGTCCGTGCTGCCCCTGACATAAGCCTCGTGGGTGAGAGCCGTAGCCGCCACCTGGAACGTCTGCCCGGGCACGTACGACCCGTACCCGCGGGGCACCCCCCCGCCGCCGTCCCGTCGTCGCGGCTTTTCGTCCGGCCCTGGCCGCGCCCCCCCGCCCCCCACCCCCGCCGCGGCGTCTACAACGGCGGAGGCTCCCTGGGGGGCGTGGGACGGGGGGAACGGCGACGGAGAGGAGCCGAGGATGACCTCCTTCACCATGTCCACTGCCTCCTGGCTCGAGACCACGTCCCACAGGCCGTCGGAGGCCAGGACCAAGAAGGCGGTGTTCTTGCCGCCGCTGCCGCTGCCGCTGCCGCCACTGCCACTACCGCCGCTACCGCCGCCACCGCCGCCACCGCCGGCGTCGTCGTCGTTGTCGCTACCGTTACCGTGGGACACAAACACCACGTCGGGCTCGGAGGAGAGGACGCCGTCCCGGCTGAGCCGCCGGTTTCCGAGCGTCCTCGTAACCGCCAGCTCGCCGTTGACCCGCAGCACCCCCCGGTGCTCCACGGAGCCCCCGTTCGCCTCCACGCGCGCGCGCTCGCTGGCGCTGTAGGGCGTGTGGTCTGTTCAGCAGTCCGCACGCAGCGACGACGAGAGGGGACAGGGCAGAACGACAGTGTGGCGAATGGGCATGCTGCCGTCGTGCTTGGTACACGTTGAACTTACGGCCAACGTTTCTTGCGGAAAACAAGGCATCGCGCGGAGGCGGAGGAGATGGGTACGAATGGAGGGCAGACAAGTTCTACTATGGGACCGCTGTGAGTGTCATGCCAACCCCCGTCCATTCTACCCCCAGGCTTCGCGCTTGGTGATGTGAGAGCCTGCTTCGGTGAAAACCCGGTGTGCTCCGCCCCGGCTTTGTAGGGATGCAAGGTCAATGGCCTACGTAGCGACTACGGCACGCACGGCTATGAATATATACACACACACCCTCCCACGCCCCCCCCCCCCACCTTCTGTGATCTCCACGGCGCGGCCAGCGTCGTCGCAACACAGCACCGCCCTCGAATCCCCGACATGGGCGACCACAGTGACGTCAGGATAAACAAGGGCAACGGTAGCCGTCGTACCGCTGTCATCCTCCGACACCGCGGCCGCGGCCGCCGCCGCCGCCACACCCTCGGCCGCAGCAGGTACCCCCGTTTCCGTTTCGCGGGCCCCCTCGGAGGGGGGGGGGGGACGAGGAGTTGCCCCGCTCCCGCCGCCGGGGTGAACCAAGCCCAGAAAATCCTCCTGAGTCTTGCGGAATGCCCTACGAACGGCGCGCTCTATGGAGGCGTTATTTTCGGGGGGGGCGTCGTCGTCGGGAGACGGTGGCTGCGGTGGTAACGACGGCTGTGCTGCCTCTTGGGCGTTGAGGAAGACTTCGAGGTTCAGGTGTAGGGCTCGGGAGGCGAACTTTGCCGCGCGGGTCCCGCAGTGGCCGTCGAACACGCCGTAGAACTTGTAGTCTTCCTGAGAGGGGCGTGGAGTGAAAAACGCCAGGGTTGTAGGGGAAGAGGATCAGAGTGAGTGAAAGAGACGGACGGAGAGGGAGAGAGAGAGAAAGAAGGAGAGACATGCAACACAAAGCGGATCGGGCTACAATATTGGGGAGTGGAAGGGATAGATGGGGGGGACGAGCGGCCGGTCGACGTGACCAGAACTCGGGTGTACAGGCACGAGACAAACAACTCCACCGAGGCCAAAAGTTATTGCACGTCCGCCGTGCTTGGCGACTCAGCGATCGAACAAGGATCATGACACTGCTGTACCAGACATCACACGAAAATGCTACGATTCCACGACCCATTCATGCCAGACCTTGCTTGCAGAATACCGAAATTTGCACACGTAATATACCACACCCGCTTACACCGATATACATTCAAAGCTCGGTTACTTTGCAGTGCAGCCGGTGGCGGTGGCGGTGCCGGAAGCGGCAGCGTTGGGACAGTAGTCTCGTTCGAGATTGTTCCAAAAACGTACCAATCACTTAATTTCAGCAGCCTTTTCGACGCGGAGCAAGTTGTCAGGTCGGGTCGGGGGGTGAGGGTTTCATGCAACCTACAACAGTACGGCGTTGGTTACCTGGAACAGGATGGAATGGTAGTCCTTTATCCTTGACCGTCGCCCCTGCACGTCACACCACCCGGAGTGAGGGTGGAACGGAAGCTTAAAAATGTAAAATGGGGGGGGGGGGGGGGGGTGTACTCATAGTCGTGCATGCCCTAGTCGTTTGACCATTGACCTCGCATCCCTACAAAGCCGGGACGGAGCACGCCGGGTTCTCACCGGACCAGGCTCTCACATCACCAAGCGCGAAGCGCCGTGAGGTATTTGGCGAGTCGCATGAAGGGTGAGCTGCATCCTGCTAAGGGTGTTCGGCATCTTGTGCCTACTTCCTTGCGTACGGATGACAGCTACGTATGACTTAATTTATTTTCTGGTGCTTTCACTTCCAGAGACAGTTGTAAGCACTGTGTAACTGCCTCGAGGAAGCTTGACCGTTTTAACACAACGTGGTGCGATCATCCCCCGTTGCGCGGAGTGAGGTTTCTCGACCCCGCACAACATGATCTACTCGACCACCATTATGGTTACCGCCAAAAAAAAAAAACGAGGTAAAAAAAAAAACGTAACCTGGTTGCCGAGTTCACGAAGTGAATTGGCTTGTTTTACAACGTCGTTGCCAAGCGACGAAAACCCAACCCCGATGGCAAACACAGGGGAAGTGCTGTGCCGGGGGGGGGGGGGGGGGGAGAAACAGAGAGTACAGACCGGCAAAGAAAACGAGTTAAAATTAGAGCCAGTGTCGGAGGTGGGTAGTGCAGCACGAGGTTG